ATATATATATATATCCTCAGGTGAGGATTAACAACAGAAAAAGAAATGAATTTACTCTTCCACATTGCCCCTATATACACTTTAATTCTGCATTATGTTAAATCTTAATAATAATATCAGAAACAAGAAGATACAAATAACTTTACTTTGAACAAAAGAGTTTAACTCCTTTACTTTAGAAACAAAAATTGCAGGCCTCGCCAAGAGGCTGCAAACCCACTCTCCACAGTGGCCACCAGGGGTGACTTCTAGGACTCCTCACCCAGATCAGGCCAAACCACAGTGCTGACCATCACTAAACCTGTGTAACCTGGAAGGTTCTCGAGCTTTTGTGTGAACAGCTTCCACTCTCCCTGATTCCAACAGTTCATCAGAATGAGCAATGGGCCTCTAGAGAATCAGTGTACAGAGTTTCAGACAACAGAGGCTGTTTGTACTCTGAAGCTTTAAAATGCATTGTTTCATGCCCTTCAGGCAGCTACATAATAATTTGAGTACTTAAAGGCGAGAGCCCAGGGAATTCTGACTCAGCAGGTCTGGGATGGGACCAGGTGATACGGGTGTGCAGCTACATGGCTCAGATAATAATTTATACTTCTGTCTCCACTCAGACATCAACCAGCTAGAAATGTCACCACGACACAGGAAAGGACCAGAGTGTCAACCTCAGTTAATAGTCAATACCAGATGGTATGGTATAAATATTAATATTGGGTAAATCAATGTTTTAATTCCAATCTAGAAAAGACCAACAACCCAGAGCTGAAGTAAGGATTTTAATTTCCCTGGTTACTTGAAACCTGGATTCCTGCGATTTCAATTTGCTGTCTGTGCGGAAGCACAGGCCCCTTAGGAAGTGGAGCTCTGAGCGCCCTCTAGGGTCCGGTGAACTTGCCCCCCTGCCCTGAAGGGACTGAGAGTCAGCTCTTCCATTATTAAGTCCACTCACCTTTGCTTTTTTATAACAGAGTCAAAACCAATAGTTTCCACAGGTCTTTTTCCAATTGTAACCATTTGCTTTTTCCCGTCTCCCTCTGGTTCATCTTCGTAGCGGTTCCTGAGTGCAGTGAGAAAGTCTACTCCAAAGTTTGCTTTGTTTGGACGAATAAAGGACCCTCCTGTTGGGTGACTGGAAAGGAGAGAAATGGAGCAGAGTAAACATCCATGGAGACATTTAAATGAAATGACGCATGCCAAATCCCTTACATACCCTGCCACAAATGTGAATACTGCATTTATAAACTTATTTACAAATATATTAGCAAATAAAAGCAATTAAACAATTAAAAAATATATATATCGACCACCAAGAATGGCCAGAAATGCAGTGTCCGAAGGATTTCAAAATTTTCTGTATGCTGAAAAATCAGAATCAGCATAAAAGATAATATACTAAAAACGTATATGACTGACGTGCTTGATATCCAGGGTTGTGAGCTTAGGCAGACCTGTAAAATCCCACAGTTTAAACAGATAATTCACTTGAATAAACACAAGCACTGAATCATGGGGGAGAGTTTCACCCTGTTAATGATTAAGAAATGCAAGTTCAAATAATGAAAACTTTTCAGCAAAACACAAAAATGAAGAAAGATCCTAACAGCTTCAAGACTTCAAGGCTGTAAGGGTGGGCTTGTTTTGATTATATCATCACACTCCTGGAAATCGGTCAGCCGGCAGTGATTTTAAAATAGCAACAAAACTGCATTTACAAAGATTCTGTGTAATAGCATTTATGTCTAATTGAGGAACTCTGGAAACCGTAAAAATGCCCAGCTGAACAGAAAATAGTAAGTAAACCCGATAGATTAAACATTCTAGCTGTAATACTTAATAAAGCTACTCACAAAATGTTGAGATATCTAGAAACTGAACTGAACTGTACATACCATTATAAAGTCACCCTTACAGATGAGTAAAGACTGCATAAGGATACAAAGAAATGAGAACATTCGTGCACAAAATCTTTTAAATACCTTGAACTAAATACATTTTAAAAGCTTAAATATGGGGCTAAAAAAGAGCAAGTGAGAATATTCTACAGAAACACAGGATACTTCACAATTGATATTCAGGCTTTACAGCAGTTTTCCATAGCAGTCTCTAGCAGGCCCTGGCCCGTGTCCTCAGGGTTAGAGCATCGGCCCACACACTGAAGGGTTCGATTCCTGGGTAAGGGCACGCACCTGGGTTGCGGGTTCGCTCCCCACCCCCAGTCGGGGGCGCATGAGGGAGGCAGCCAATTGGTGTGTCTCTCACATCGATGTCTCTCTCACCCTCCCTCCATCCCACTCTCTCTGAAAAGCAATGGAAAAGATACCCTCGGGGGAGGATTAACAAAATAATAAAATAAAATCGATCTCTAGCAGGATTTAAAAGAAACGGTAATTCTAATGCTGTGTGCAGCGGCCGTCAGGCTTTCCAGGAGATTCAAAACAGGTCGGGAGGCCCATTAAGTCTCGGCCTTCAGCATCCCCTCATGGCAATGACAGTAACAGTTGTAAATGTTAATATTATCATTTGATCACTTTATAGAAATGATGAAATACATGAATTGCCAAAAACTGTATTAGAAACATTACTGTGGCTTACAGCCTTTAACTCAAAGGAATCAAACCTTCCTAGATGTCCCCGTAATCAAAAGGATGAAGCTCATATTCGTGGTAAATTCTGCCGATATAAACATACACACACTTTTTCTGGGAAGTGGGTCCATAGAGATGACCAGGTTGTGAAAGGAACATGATCCCCATGAGCTAGAAGTGACTCAGGTAAGTCACCTGGAGGTCGTCAGATCCCAGGAGTGGTGCCCTGGAGCCAAGGATGAATGTGGACAACTATGACTGGTGCTACAAAAGCCTGAAGGTGACATGAGGCTGGTCCCTGAACCTACAAGCAGAGGTAAGGGCGGGGGTGCGGCAGGGGCCAGGGCCCGATGCGGGGCCAGGGAGTGAGGCCAGGGAGCACAGACAGCTCCTCCTGGCCAGTTCCACTGCCAAAGGGGTGGGGGAGCAGGGGCACCTGAAGGGAGGCGGACCGGAAGGGAGTGTTTTCAGGTGGGAGGTATCAAACCTGTATGTTGACGAAAATAACCCAGTGGAGGGGGAAACTGATGGTGCAGGAAATTAAATTCTCAGCTGCAGCAAAATCGAGTTGTGAGTCTATTGGGATCTGAGAGGATCACTGACTACCACAAGCTGCCTAGAAACTGCGTTTTAAACGCTCGAAAGGCTCATGCTGTGAAGAGCACAGTTCTGTTAATAAGAGCAATTCCATCACTCGGCTAAAGAGATGAAACAGAGCTGGTATCACTTTTTAAAAGTTCACAGGAATCTACCTCAGAGATTATCGAGTCTCGGGCTTTTGAAATGTAACCTAAAGAGCAGGAAGCTATCTGGAAAGCTCCCTGGACGGCAGCACCGAGAGGCTGGTTCTGCAGCTGGGCTGGGGCCCAGGAATTGGCTCCTTTCAAACAATGCTCAGGGGATTCTGACATGGGTGGGCCTTGTGTCCCACCTTACGGAACGCTCATCTAATCCACCCTGTCTCAGGTGGGGACACTGGTGTCTTCTGTTACAGACCAAAAATCTTGGATTGCTAATTTTGTTAAATTAAAATCCTAGCTAGCATTCCTAAGACGGGGGGAGGGAGTGAGAAGGGGATGGGGCAGCACATGTAGAGCTGGGCAAACCTGGCTCCATGACCTACCAGCTGTACGACCTCAGGCAACTGATTTCACATTTTTAGCCTAAGTTTCCTCATTGATAAAGCCCCACCAAGTGAAGTTACTTATAAGGATTAAATAAACCATAATAAAATATAAAACATCACAATGTTGCTAGGAACATTGTGAGGATACATACAGTTATTGCATCTAATATATTATTGAAATAGCCCTAGCCAGTTTGGCTCAGTAGTTAAGAGTGTCAGCCTGCGGACTAAAGGGTCCCGGGTTCGATTTCTAGCAGTTGCAACCTCGATCCCCGGCTCCAGTCAGGGTGAATGTGGGAGGCAACCAATTGATGTGTCTCTCTCACATAGATGTTTTTCTCTCCTTTTCACTCTCTCTGAAAAGCAATGAAAAAATATCCTCTGGTAAGGATTAAAAAAACAACAACAATACATTATTGAAATCAACATATGTTGACATACTGGGATAGCCTAGAGGCCATACTCTAAATTTAAGCAATAATCCCCAGGCTCTTTAAGAAGTGTTCCTGTAGCAGGTCTTATCACCATCAGTGACAACACAATGTCATCATATGAACTATGTACAGTTTTGATAAGAGAAAATGTGACTATAGATGTATGCAGGGTGAAGTCACCAGCACCGCAGGCATGATGGTATCTGCCCATTACCTGCTGCTCCCTAAAGCTACCTGCAAGTAGAGTGCCTTGAACTTAGGTGCCCTGTGCCTGGCTCTGACAGGTAGTAGAAGTGATGTCATGTCAGTTCTGGGACTAGGCTTTGTGTAAAAGGCCATGCAGGCCAAAACACTGACTTGGGGTTCCTCAAAATTCTGTGGGTGAGCTTGGCTCAGCTGAGTGTCCTGTTTCATGGTGTCCACTGGAGTCATGATGTGGCTGTATTCAGCAAGGAGCTGGTTGAGGGGAACCATCCAAGGTGGCTCCACAGAATCCTGGCCCCTGGGCGAGGGTGACTGGAAGGGCAGGGGACTGCTGGGCCTCTTTTCCCAGCAGGGTATTTAGACTTTGCAGGTGGTGATGGGCTTTCTAGAGAGTGAACACAGAAACTGCACAGCCTCTTACACAAAGCCAATGACAGAACTGACACATCACTTCTGCTACCTGTCAGAGCCAGGTACAGGAAACCTAGATTCAAGGCAAGAGAAACTGCCTCTAACTCTTGCTGGGAGAAGCCACAGGCTTGAATAAGAGCTGGAACAATTTTTGCCAGCCATCTTTGGTGACAATTTAGCATGCTGACCCCTCCCAGAAAAAACAAAACCTGCTACATTAAGCAAGCTTGGATATGTCCACCTAACCATCTTGGCCCAGTAGTTTCACCCCATGAACATGACATGCTGAGTTTGGGGAAAGGCAGAGGACTCTTGCCACATGCTGAGTCTGACCTGCCTGGTGGGTAGAGAGCAAGACAGAGCACTGCCACTGTGGAAACTGTGTCTGGATTAATGTAGAACAAATCTACACAGTAGAGACAACCAAACCTTAACTACTTCCACACACAGACCATCTAGGGCTCTTGTGTTTACTGAAAAGATATGCTTCCAGGAAGCAAAAGTGGCCTACGCAGGGAACACTCGTGCCCAGGGTGACAGGAGCTCAGAAGCTTTCAGGTCAGTGAGCTGTGGGCTTCTCCCTCTTGCCTTTTGAACAGGAATGTCTCCTACAGTTATTCTTTCCCTCTCATCACTGCACACAGGGCATGAGGAGGGCTCCCGACTCCACCGGTCTCAGGTCCAGAGCCCCTTCCAAGCATCTGCACCAAAACTGCACCCAAGGAGCGGCTCTGGGATCTGGAGTACTTTAGATGGCAACACCTGGACTCAGCCAATGCTGCAACAGGGGTGAGACTCCTGAAGGTGGAGAGTGGGTTCTGCATGAGGAAGAGATGTGAACTGATGTGGCAAACAGGTGAATTGGCAGACTGTTTCCATAGGCCACTCAACCCACGTCCCCTTTGGCAATTCGGCTTTTCCATTTGTCCCATCAGTGAGTGGAGTCCACTCCCCTCCTCTAGAGCATGGACTCACCCAGTGACTTGTTTTTACCAGCAGAGTGAAGCCTGGGGCTTGAGAGGCACTGCCGCCTCCACTTTCACCATCCTGGAGTCCAGAGGCTGTGTAAGGAGCTCCTGCTGGCCTGCAGCGAAAGGCCGTGTACAGAGAGATGAACCCAAGGAGAGGGTGACGAGAGGAGGCCCAAGTCCACCCCCATCAAGGACCAGCACCAAGTCCGCAGCTGTGCAAGGCCATCTCAGATCCTCTAGCCAACATCACTTGGACAGAGGCAACCATCTCACTGAGCCCTGCCCACACCCCTGAGACACAGATTCACAAGCCATAAAGTGGTGGTTTTAAGCTGCAAGTTCGGGGGGGGGGGTGCTTGGTCATCCATCAATAGCTAACTGAAATAAATGGGAAATTA